TCTTTTTCTCTGTCACACATAGATATACGTACACACACAAGCACACACACACACACACAAACACACACACACACACAAACACACAAACACGCACACACACACACACACAAACACACTCAAACACACACACTCAGACACACACACACACACACACACACATACACCCACTCACACAATACGTACATATATACACAAACACACATACACATTAACACACACACACACACTCGAACCTCCCAGACTTTTACAGCTATTGTTATATTTTGTTGTGTTTCAAGATAATACAGTTATGGGTTTTGTTAAGACACCATTATCTGCGCTGCGCTGCTCTGCTCAACTCGTTTAACGTTAATATCTCTGGGTCACAAAAAAGTAGGCCTACAAATACAAAGACATTCCTTTATGTTTTTTTCTTCTTGTCAACATTGAGACCCCCATATCATGCATAAAAAAGTCATTAGTGTTTGACTGGTATTTACTGTCAAGCATTATTATCTACGAGTATATTGGTCCATTCCCCTTTTCATTACTAATTCACAGGTGTTTAGTCAAAATATTCCATGTTCCGATAGTTTTATTCTTTTAGACAAAAGATCTTGCCTTTAGATTAGTAAAATAGTGTCAGTGTTCTAAATGAAGACTGCTCCAAGTATAAAGCTCCAATTTCATATATCCAAAAGGGGATCGTAATGGAGCTATTGTCAAAATAGAGACATGTTTATTATGAAATGGTTAAATTATTTAATGGTTAAAGGTACCTGCCACATGAAATTACTCATGATATGGAGTAACAGTTCACAGGGTCTTCATTCTGAGAATACTCTACTTCAAAAGTCTGACAGTCAACATCCGAAGGCTTTTGCTTTTGGGTTGAAACCCAGGAAATCAAATGAAAGAAAAAGGAGTTATTGTCAAACTGTCCTGAAACTTGGGGTGGAGTGGCTTAATGTTTACCAGACATTATTTTTTTAACATGAATAATTGTATTTTGGCCTACTGAGAGGGTGAGGGGACTCCCCGTGGCTGTTCTTTTGGTTTAGATCAGCATTCTCTTGCAGAATCCTTGTTAGAGTGGTGTACATTGTCGGCTAAAGACACAGCCTAGAGTCGTACAGGAGGTGGGATTCAGATACAAAGGTATATCTTTATAGTAAAAAAAACTGACATATCAGTAATGGATCCAAGATGTTAAGAATGATATCTGGTCGTCTTTTCTACTTTTCTGTTCTTCTTTGTCTGCAGAGACCGCTATGGGCAAGACCATTGATGCTCAGCAAAGTGATTCTGAGTATGTCCACGCTGTTTACAGGTCAGTTTTCTCGATCTGCTCAAAGATTAAGGCGGACTGCTTATACCGGGTATCTAAAAAAAGGAACCCATTTATAGGGAAATGACGTGGTCATCTTTCGACCAATTGCAACAAAACCTTGAACTTCAACCAGGGGACATCACATTCATCAATATGAAGAAAATCAATTTATTTGTTTGAAAAATGTCAGATTTTAAACATTTCTAATAAAATTGAGTAAAATACAAAACTGCTATTTAAAAAAAAAAACATATTGTGGATAAACATTTGTGGATTGAAGATCACATTTATATATATAAGATTGGAATTGCCGAAAATACTCAGGAATGGTGGTGGCTATTTGAAGTATATGCTCCAAGTATTGACCATTTCTGTCCCGAGAAGGTCCGATACATAATTGGAAATTTTGAATTACATTGTAGCATGTTTCTGGTCGATTGTTTGGACCTCCTGTTTAACACTGATTTTCAACTGTTTGATTGTTTGTGGGTTGTTTCTGTAAAGGTTGTCAAAAAAGTCCTTAAGGAAATTATCAAGGGGCTTCAAGTTGGGCAAATGTGATGACCATTCGCTTGTGAGCTTTTGGCTTATAAGGTGTTCTCCAAACCATGCCACAGTCACTCATGATGCTTTGGGTGTGGTCCCATCCCACAAGAACCAGGCCTCCTCAACAGCATAACACCATCTCCTCCCTTAACTTCTCCTAAACTTTCTCAGTACGGTGAGATATCCATCTGATGTTACAGTCATGCTTGTCCCATCCTCGTCCTGAAACCAGAGTGAACTGATCAAGCCCCTGTAGCTGAATGCTTTTAAGAAGTAAAGTTTTGTGCTTTATCCAATTTTGGTTGAAATATTTACAAATTGATATTTTTCGAACGTGGTTGATTTTCATCATATTGTGCTGATGTCTCCTTGGTTGAATTTTATTTGTTCGAAGTTTTGTTGATATTGGTGCAAAGATGACAGAGTTATTGCCCGCTAAATGGGTCCTTTTTTTTACTTCCTGTACCTTATACACATTTTGCTTAGAATGTAATTGATTTTTTTCAAGTCTTTTAATGCTTCCTTATGGTATATTCACCTATGTTCTGATTTCATGACAGAATCTGCTGAAGTCATACCAGGATGATCAATTATATCGTTCAAAAAATGGAAATGTTGAAACCTTTTTTTCTCTGTTGCAGAGAAAATGAGACAACCATTTTTGTTTTCAGTGTCAGCAAATTCCATCTGTCTGCATCCTTTCATTATATGTCTACCTCTTTTTTCATCTGCATGTCCATCTGTGTATCAACCGATATGTCTGTCTGTGTCTGAATATTGCAATGATTGTAAAGGTCAAATACTGTGCATAAAAATGAGAACCGAAGTAGAATGTCAAAAATAGAAGAAAGAAGATAACAAGGATGTAAGACAGTCGTAGGACCTTTTATATGTGGACTTGTGCTGTTGCTTGATTGATGCAGTACTGTTCCTCCTCTAAAAGTGACCCCAAAATACTCTGGATCAGACCATAATGTGCACTACACAAGGTGCATACAGAAAGTAAGCCCTCTTTTCAGACCATTCTTGCACATCATCAGATTTCCCCCAATTGCATACCATGGTGAGTTCAACCATCCTTTTTGAAAGAACTGTGAAATAATTATTTCACTGGAATGCTGGAGTAAGGATAGCAGACAAGACGTCAAAAAGTAGAGCCTGCGTTTTAACTATTTCTTCCACAATTTGGCTTGTTTTGTGTGCTCTCAAGGTAGCTTCTGCCAACATGCAGGAAAATATAGAAAATGCTAGCAAGTGTGAGATTCAATCAGTGATTTGTGTCATGAATGCACAGAGCTTAAAATGCAGTAAGATACACCGTCATCAGATAACAGTATGGCAAAAATGTGATGAGTGAGGGTATGATAAGGAAATGGAATGACAGACAAAATGTCCGTTTGAACAAACAAACCCAGTAGTGAACACCAATCTTCAGGAAATGAGAAAGTAGAAAACAAAATCAATGAAGAGATTTATTAGGACAGACACTTTATATTCTCTTCCTGTTCCCTCTGTTTTCCTGAAATTTCAAGGAGTCTTCTGCATGAAATTGTTAAGGACCATTTAGCATATATCGAAAGTTGTGTGCTCCCTGGGTTCCCAAGATGTTCGTACAAACAGCAAAGATTAACGATAAACATGTGCTTCTACTATTCTAGCACGATATTACACTGAAGGAGATACACTTCCGAGCCACATTCTCATAAGGGATAAAACTTAAATACGTCATGTCACACCTGAGTCAAAGGAGCAGTCGAAACAGTGAGAAGCATACAGATTTGCCTGTACTGGAAAATGATTCTAATAAACTATTTGAAAGAAGAAAATCATGAGCGCAGTGTTCTGAGACAGGCTGGAATTCAATTAATTGATGGATTTCTTGCCAAATAGAGCAACAGTTATTTTTTATGTTTACAATATCCCTCAGAAATTGCACACAGCAAGTCAAAACAAAAGATATGGGGTGTTGAGCTCTGATGTTGTTTTGCTTCATGACAGCACCTCTGTTCAGACTCAGATATGAAAATTCAGATGGGAACTGTTGAAGCAATCATCTTACTGCCCTGAATTGGCACCAATTGACTATTTATTGTTTTTGCTTCTGAAGCAGTTTTTAGGTGGTCAGCAGTTTGACTCAGAGGACAAGTTGCAAGAAGAATTGAAATTCTAGTTGGCTCACTGGTTGCAACTTTTTATGAAGAGTTTGTTAAGAAACTTGCTTCGGGCAATGAAAAATGTGTGAATAACTGAGGCAATTGTGTCAAAATATAGAAGAAGAAGAAGAATAAATAGCATACATTTGTACAGCGCATACCTCCGCTCGACAGCAAGCTTTATGCTCTTTACACTGTATTAATAAAGTCTGGCAGATATCGTGAAATGTATAATTTGGGGGTAAGTGATTACTATTATTCTCTTCATTCGAAACAGATCTTATTCTGGGTACCCCTTGTCTGTTCATAATTTTAGTATTTGTGTCACGTACACTCCAGCAAGGGACTTTTCCTATCAGTTGGACTGGTACTTGACTCTGCTTCAGCACTGGACGTGGTTTTATCTAAAGATAACCAAGGGTGAACAATTGTACCGGGTGAAATATGATGTCAACAAAAGCCTGATTTTGTATACAATTCAGTTGAACTAAATCAGGGTTCATAACCCCAAGGGTAAAAAGATTAATTTTAGCACGGTGGAAAGTTCCCATATAATATCTCAATTTGTCTCATCCTTTATCACAATAGTAAAGGTGATGCGATGACCCACCCTACAAAGTTACAGTTATATATATAAACAGTCGTACAATGTTGAGCCTTGAACCATGCACTTTGTTGTCTACGTATCATTGGTCCAAGCTGGTGGCGTTATGTGAACATTCTTCTTCCTTTTATCAACTTGCCATCTGATCACTGGCTTTCCTCTACCTGTCCAATTCTTGGTTGCCACCAACTATCCTTGTCGATTTATCTGTCTTTGTATTTTGATGCCGCATTGTTTTTCATTTGTTTTAATATGAATTGGGTTTTTTTAGTTTTCTTTAAAGCTTTTATTTTTGTATTATGTTTTAGGGCATTTTATGTTTTACAGGTATAAGTACCTTGGTTACACCTTCTCTGATACCTGTACTCCTCTATTATTTCTTATTTTGCTGTATAGTACATTTTGCCTTTCTTAGTAGGTAAGCAAACACTCTTGGTCCTTGGTTTTGTATAGACCTATGGCATAGTAGGCATGACTAAGATGGCTAATGCAAGTCACAAAACTTGGGAAAGGATCGATAATCTGTTTTCTGTTGGGTCAACTTGTATCTTTTTAGATGTTAGATATAATAATATGTCTTAGCTGGTATGTATTTTTAGTCGGCGTCCGTGGTGTAGTGGTTAAGCGCTTCTCAGTCAGATCATTTATTTTTCTGTCTTTCTACTAGTGACGTTGTATTCTTGTCAGCCCAGACTGTCCTGACAGGCAGGATCTAAAAAGTTGTGTTGACAGGGGCGTAATAACACTTACATTATTGAAAAGAAAATTTCTTTTTTCTTGAGGCCTGGTCTTAAACTCCTCTTCTTTGGGTAACAGTCAACAACCGTCTTTTTCCAAGTTGTAAAGCTGACGGGCACTTTGTGACCTTGGGAAGAAAATTTGCACTAAAAACTATGGTTGTAAATGAGAGCAACTCTATAGTTAGCCATTTTAACTGTAATGATAGGAACAATCTTTAGACATTCTCACTCCTATCCTCTCACGAGGTCAACTCTGCTCATTCCTTAGGATCCTAGTCTTCGCTTGTGGCGGGTTGGCGGGTGCTCTGGTGTGATTTGTCCTTCATTGCTATCAAATATCTATTGTCCTTATCTCTCCACCTTCTTTTTTGTGTTGGTTACTCTCTTGTAATACTTCTAATCTTTGGCACTCATATAACTTAATTTTGTTGCAAGCTCTGTTAAACTCTATAACTAAAACAAAAATGTTTAGTCTTCCTCTAGACACTGCAGTATTCATAATAAGCTGGACCTCCAACTTTCACCAAATGGCTTGTTATAGCTTATTGGCTCTTCACTAGGCTGTTCCCAATTCTTCTGAAATATCTAGTAGAGATCATCAGTTGTCCTTCCAGACATAGGTAAAATGGTGTGGGCTGAAATTAACTCTTTTGGTGTCATGTTGGACTGCTACGCGGGTTACCGTTGTTCTCATTTTCTAATTCTGTAGTAGACATCCTTGCAGTATGGTTTATTGGAGATATTTGATGGCTCTCCACCCATCTGGCTCAATCTCACTGGAAAAGGACATTAGGTTTGATAGTCAGGACTCTTAAAGAATCTTGGGATGTGGTTTTTCTCTTTCTACTTTTCCTCTACATTTCTTATGAGGTGAAATGTAGCAGGTAACGTTATAAATCATAAAATTCAAATCGCTACTTTAGAATTACAAAGATTTTACTGATGTATTTGGCTGTTGAGTTACTAGGGAGTTTCAAGTTGACCATAAGGTTCTATCTGCTCTATCAGCATTGTAACATTATTTGGATTCATGATGAAGTGTTCAAAGAATTGCATTAAAACAAAAGCTTAACCTGTGGTTAAACTAAAAAAAAATTTTATCCAAATTTCTCAAAACTAGGTACCGTACTAAGCGGATAGAATTTTGTAATTCTAGGATAGCGAATTGATACAGTCAAAGTTGGAGAATTATTTCACTCTGCGGTTCATTCAAACAATTTCAGAATGAGCACTCTGATAGATGGGCGGATGAGGAAGCCCTGGTTCTGGTCTGACCTGCTGTACAGCATCATCGGACATGGGAGAGAACATGCGGACAAGCTGAAAATCCTCCACGACTTCACCAACTCTGTAAGTTGTCTCTACTCTCATGTTGAGGTTTTAAGATTTGTGCTGAGTTAACGAGTTCCATTATATCAGTTGAGACTCCTGGAATAGATGAAAATATCACATTGTTATTATTACAGCAACTGACTCCAAAGTCTTCAAAGAGTGAAGGGGAGCAGGGTGGGATGAAAGTGAGTGCTTGAAATCTAGCATATCCGAGTGTTTTGAAAGGTGGCAGTTTTTCTAACTTAATTCCGCATATTCTGGACATATGCTTCTCTCAGTGTAGTCACTGAAACTTTCTTCCCAAATCATAAGGATAAATTGGGAGGAATGTTCATAGCTCTTGTTTTTGCCCTGTTTTAACAAACAAAATTCATGATGGAGACTTTTCTATGGCAACAATTAAGTAAGTGTAGTGGCACTTACTGAATTTCTTCTTCTCTCACATGATATAGGATCCTACTCTATGTTACAACATTGTGATTAAGGAAAGATTTTGACCCTCTGGTGCCCCACAATAACAACTTAGAATTGTTGCCATTTTCTGTGTCTTTGATTCAACAAATATGTGTCACGACTTTGTGGAATCAGGTGCTCGTCAATTTCTGGACATACGGAGTTATTGGCTTTATCTTAAAGCATATATGTTAATTTGTCTTGGTTTTGATTCAATAAAGAACTATTTTCCTTGAATAGAAGTCTAGATATTTGTGATTGAAGGAGGTGGGGATGGCTTAGTGTCAGAGGTAAAATTTGTGAGAAAATGGTTGCCAAAGTTTGGTGACTTCCAAAGCTGAATGTCCTTGAAAAATGCAAATTTACATTTTATATGCCTTTGGTCAACATTTGTTAGTTACTGGCTCACAAATGTGTTTTTTAATGAATATAAAAAATGTTGGGCAAAAAACAGAAATGTTGAGAAAAATTGCCTAATGGACAGAAAAATGACAGTGTCTTCAATTTCATTAATTTGACAAATGCCTGATTTCATCACGATGCTTTAACAAATGTTTTTGTTCACATATCAGGTCATTGCTGATCGCTTGAAAGATTTTGACCAGAAACAAGCTGAACTTGTGAGGAAGGAATTGACTGGAGAAGCTGTGGAGCCTGGACACAAAAAGGTGCGGCTAGCCTTTTTGGACATGCTGTTGTACATGTCGGAGAACTTGACCAAGTTAGACATTCAAGACATACGGGAAGAAGTGGATACTTTCATGTTTGAGGTGAGCAGGGTTTTTTGTTTTTTTCATTTTTTCAACTAGCATTTATATGTTTTTCTCAGTCCAGTGGGTAAGGTATTTGCGGGGAAATTCATCCTGGATTCATGCTAAAGACGGTAAGGCACTAAAGTCCAGTCTTGAACTCTGTGCTGTCAATATTCATCACTATTTGAACAATCTCTTTAAATAAAAAAAACATGCCGAAATAAAGCAGACTCAACTGTGAGCGAGTGATTGGCAGCTGCTCCGGTGTCGTTTGCTCCTTCTTTCCTGTCAAACATCTATCATCCCTGTCTCCCCTCTTTCTGTTTTTTTGCGTTTGTTACTCTCTAGTGACTCCTCTAATCTTCAGAATTTACGAAGGTTCTCGTATATGACCTGATTAATGTATGTTGCAAGTATGGTAAAATGCTTACTACAACATTTTTTTAAAAAAGACTTCACTGTATATATTATGTACGTATATGTGTTTGTGTATACAGTGGTCTTTGCATCCTGTTAGTCCTGATTTTGTGAACTTGGAAATGGGAATGCTCACACAGTGTGAGTCCTCAAGAAAAGGAATTGAATGAGTACTTACTTTACTTTGTTCACTTTATCTCTGCCTTCTACACCATGAGGTGTCATGGGGAGGTAAAGACATCGGGTCTTTGCAAACTGAGAAAAGCCTCCTGGGGCAGAAAGTTGCAACTTTACCTTTTCCTTGATCTTCCTCCCTCTCTGCTGCCAGGGACTTTTGTGTATGTCATTGGATTTTAGGGCAAGTTGATTGATAGAAGTATGAGTGTAATGTCAAAACCATTTGATTCTTTGCTTTTCAATATGTGGTTGGACTGGTACGATACCCACTATTTCTTTAATGGCTGAGTTATGGTCTTCAATCAAACAAAAGCAGGCACAATTTTTGTCTGAAGCTACACTTGAAATTAGTATGAATGTAAACAGATACACACACACACCCACACACACAACCCCCCCCCCCCACACACACACTCACAAACACACACACACACACACACACACACACACACACAAACACACACACACACACATATTTTTCAGTTTGTGAGTACAATATTTGGCTTCTAAGCACATTTGTTTGGTATGAGTTTATAAAGTTTGTGTGTTCAGCTGTGTGGAAGCACATCAATATTGTAATCTAAAATTTAAATCAAAGTCCAGCAATTGAAAAATGTCTATAGCAGCAATAAAATGATGATGCATCTAATGTTATATTACATTTGTCCACTCTACTTTTCTTTCATATTTAATTTAAATGAGAGTAGTATATAATTTAAATTTCTATGTATACCTGCATGTGTTTTTACGGTCCTGTACAGCCAAGAAAAATTTCCCTCTGGGGCAATAAAGTATGATCTTATCTTATCTTATCTTATCTTAAAATCCCGTTGTATTTCAGAGTTCGTGTTAATGTCTTTTGGTATGCAGTGAAGCTGATGTTCTATACAGTGACCAAATTTGATTTGTTATTTATAAATATCTAGGGTCATGATACAACGGCAGCAGCTATGAATTGGGCTACACACCTTATCGGAGCCAACCCAGAAGTGCAGGCCAAAGTGCATGAGGAGTTGGACAGAGTATTTGGTATGTTACTTTTCGTATTTTGATTCTTTTTGTAGGTTCTTATTAGTCAACCGTTATGACACCCTTATCTTCTGTTTTCTGTTATCCGTCTTTGAAAGTTCTTTTTTCTGGCGCTCAAACCCTGGAGGATTTAACTGTAGCTTTCACTTCCAGTAGTGCTCACAGGCGCTCGTCAAACAAAGCGAAATTTAAGAAACAGGCATTTTTCCGCAAGTTTGGCTATTTTTATTGAATTTTTGTTTTTTGACTGAACACTTTTTATGTCCATATAAAGATACATTTCCGTTTACCGAAAAAAGCCTTGAGTAAAGGCACAAAATATATACATTTTTAGTTTCCGAGTACTCTCAAGCTATTGCAGTTACCAAACTGTGGCAGAAATTTTCTCGCTAGTTTCACCTCTAAAACCAGCCAACCCCACCTCCTTCAATCGCAAATATGGGGGCTCTCTCGTGGCTTAGGGGTTAAGGTGTTTGCCTCTCATTCAAAGGTCCCGGGTTCAAATCCAGGTAGCGACCGAAAAATTTTTTTCTCTAAAATTGTCTCCTTTCACCTCCTTTCCTGCTCTCTAGCAATGTTCTATCGTCTGCTTTTGTCTCCACTTTCTGCCCCCACCCCCTCACCTCTTTGGCCCCCTCCTTTAGGCTCCTGACTCTTTCTGCAGCTTTTCTACTGCTACTCCTTGGCTCCTTCTTACTGCTGTCTTTCAGCCACACGACTGATCTTCTGGTAGGAAAAATCAACAAAATCTCAGAGGTCCCGTGTGTAAGTTGCGCATGTTAACTCTTGTCCTGCGTCTGTGCCGAGATGCAAATTTTATCAGCAACCAATTACGTCGGACGTGCCGGGCAGGCCGCCGGGGTCACTCAGTGTGTACTGTTAGTGTACAGCGCGCGCACCGAGAAACGTGTGTTTTCGCCATGAATACCGCGGGAGTGTGTTAATCAATGATGAAAATAACGCTCTATCTTTCATAGCTTTCTGTTTATAAAGTGTTACAAACACATGAATAACCCCCTCTCACAAGCTGATAAGACATTATGAGTAGTTACGCCCATTCAAATAACCTTTCTGGACGCTCTTGTTGTTATGAATGACCTGAGGTTCGAAAGGGGATAATATAGGTCAATTTCCGAATGTTTTACACTCAAATTGTTCTTTGTACCTGCACAATGGTATTCAAAACTATCAAACAAGCTTATTTTTTATCAGGTAGTACCATTTGATACAAAATCAAGCTCGTTTGAAAGGTTTTGTATAGAAAAATGGAAGTCTTGTTTCCTGACTATCCTTTCGAGCTCCTCATGGCTAAGTGGGTCAATTTCTTCTATAATTTCATTGGACGAACATCTAGAGCTACCAACTTGGCATGTTTTGAATGAGACGTATGCCTCGATTACGAACCAACACAGGCAGTTCTAGAAGAAGGCTACAAATGCACACAAACTCAAGCAGACTGATGCACACACACTTGACTTGCGTGAATGGAGATCCAACTCGTGACCCGAGTGACACGTAAGATGATGCACGCTGCGTGCGCGCTGAGCCAGGGGCTACACTGATTCGGGACTAGAACATATGCGAGGTGCCGAAATACGCTTATCGGGCTACATAAACCCAGCTCCCGCAGGACGAGGGTTAGAGATCCCTTTGTGGTCTAAAATCAATAAGGGTAGGCTTCAGACGCCACCCGGGGAAATTCAAAATTTCCTACCAACTGAAAATGTTTAATGTGTCCTGCGCGCTCAGATGACCTTATGCAGTTACGAGCACAGTAATATACTCCCCCCCCCCCCCCCCCAATCACAAATATCTCGATTTCTTTTTAAGGTACATGAGTAACTTTTTCAACCAAAGCAAAGCAAATGAACAGGCTTTAAAATGACACCAATAACTCAATATATTCCAAAATTAACGAGCACCTGATTCCACGGAGTTGTGTTACATGTGGCCCATTTCCCTGTCGGGCAGAATTTTTTTCGGAGTGGCTACTCGCCCGATGTCGGGTGACTACCGCCGGGCTACTCGCCCGATCTAGGGTTTCTGCACATGTTCCGGGCGAACGAATTCGGTCGATTAGCCCCGCCTGGCCTGCGGCTTCCGGCCCTTGGGGATTTCTGCGCATTTACCATGCTCCTTTAAAATTCGCGTGATCAATCACGCAAGATTCAGTCACTCGCTCGGTCACTCCTTGTCCTCCAAGTCAAGAGTCGGATCGGTTCTAACGTGAAAGTTTGACTCTGACTGCAACTATCAGATCAAATTGACATTATTATAATACATGTCATGTATGACAGTGGGACTGGCCGTAATGTATACAATAATGACTGTATTGCACCTGGTCAGCTTGTGAACAGACACAGAGAGAAAACGACAGGAATCAATAATTTTAATAACAAAAACACCCCCCTCCTCTCTCTCTCTCTCTTTCTCTCTCTCTCTCTCTCTCTCTCTCTCTCTCTCTCTCTCTCTCTTTTTTTTTTTCTCGTTCTCACTCACTCTCTCTCTCTTTCTCGTTCTCACTCTCTCTCTCTCTTTCTCGTTCTCACTCTCTCTCTCTCTCTTTCTCGTTCTCACTCTCTCTATCTCTTTCTTTCTTCTCCCCCCCCCCCCCTCCTCCTCTCTCTCTTTCTCTCTCTGCCCGATGACAAAATTTATCGCTTTCATCTCCGTGCTACTGCTGGAACGTTTGTTTACACTCGTATCACGGGCCGTCACGCGCTAAGAAGACGGGTTAGATCTAGCGCCCAAGTCTCGTTCAGACGCGAGATAGGTCAATTGAAATATGTGAGGCGTGCTGACAAAATGAGTTACTTCTCACAATCCACAAATGGAGATATTAGCCCAAAATCAACACCAGGGCCAAATTTGTAGATTTTCTATTGATGTCGTATTCTTTAAGTAAAGCATGCCTTATATTATTTCCTAGTTAAAAATTGTAAAAACTTCATCTATAAGCGTGATGTAGCGATTTCCATAGGGCTCGAATCCGAGAAGTAACTCATTTAGTCAGCACCCTTCACATATCTTGGTAGTAGTTAGACAATATTTAATAACATCATGACGCTGCATTTCTATTGCTAGTAACTTTGTCACCGGCATTCCGATGAATGATATAGAATCTAAATAATTAATGAAGGGTGATAGATCTAGGGGATCTACAACAATGTAGTCAACTCGCGAGGTAAACCTCGGAAGACGACAAAAATAGATAATAGATGGCGGAAAAACATCATCTATGATCTATTTTGGGCCAATCGCAGAGATGTGCTAGGCGCTAGGTGCTGTCAATAGCTTCATGTCGCTCGGAAGGCCGCGAGGCGGTGTTTACGCTACCTAATACGGGGTGCCCACTACGGATGGGATGGCCCGACTCAGCTTGTTTGTTTTCAGTTTCAGGCGATTGAGTCGGGTGATCGGCCCGATCTAGCCGTAATGGGCACCCCGTATAAGACTAAGACTAGATCTAGGTGACCGACTCCAGGTAGGCAGAAAATGCTTGCCACCAGAGGTTGCAGAAATCCCCACGGGCCAGTAGCGTCAGGGTACTTGACCGTAGTCGGTCGACTAGCCTGACGCTAGCCACCCCACATCGGACGAGTAGCCTGGCGCTAACCGCCCAACATCGGGCGAGTAGCCTAGCGCTAACCACCATACATCGGGCGAGTAGCCTGGTGCTAATCACCCAACATCGGGCGAGCACCCAACATCGGGCGAGTAGCCTGGTGCTAACCACCCAACATCGGGTGAGTAGCCTGACGCCAGTCACCAAACATCAGGCGAGTAGCACCGGCCAATTTTTTTTTCTCACTGCGATCTTACTGTTATTGCCTCTTGTTTTATGCACAATTTACTTTTGCAAGGGTATGTTAATGTTTTTATCTTTGCCTTTGTTGTCAGGAAATGATGACAGAGATGTGACTGCTGAGGATCTCAAGGAATTGAAGTATCTGGAGTGTTGCATCAAGGTCAGTTCAGGGCTGTGTGTGTGTGTGTGTGTATGTGTGTGTATGTGTATCTGTTTCAATGTGTGTGTCTGCATACGTGAGTGAGTGTGTGTGTGTGTGTGTGTGTGTGTGTGTGTGTGTGTGTGCGTGCATGCGTGAGAGTGTACATCTGTTTACATCAATGTCTATTTCATGTGCTGCAACAGACAAAAATTGTGCCTGCTTTTCCTCTTTGTTACAACAAAAATAAGTGCTCACCCAAACAACAGCTTCATGAGTGTTTTTTTCCTTCTGATAGATCCCCTATGGTTCCAGTGAGGGCTCAGGTTCCTCCTGTTTTGTCAGTAATAGGGTGTGAAACTCTTGAAAAGAATTGAAAGTGAGAAAACGCCCCCAGTGTCAGGAGTTATTATAAATGTAATGTATCAATAGCCGAGTATGGTTATCGCAGTAATTTATAAATTGCTTTCATCTAGATTAGTAGTAACTTATCTCTTTGCTTTGTCCCCTTTTTTTACACCATCATTGACATTGTCATTATAATCTTCACCATCTTATATTACAGATTTTACTGTTGTCATTTTTGTTTTTATAGTTGTTACTGTTCTATACTGCCATTTCATCTGGGTTTTTTCCTTTTTGTTGTTGCTGTTTGTGTTTTTTATGCAGTTTCATTGATAGTCCCAAGACCAATGACCATTTCAAATGTATATTCCATAATAAATGCCATTGTTAAAGTTAAGACTATTCAGGTAACAGTCACAAGGTTATTTCACATTTTCTTTCATAGGAAGCTTTGAGGCTTTTCCCTTCTGTGCCTTTGTTTGCCCGATCAATCACTGGTGACCTTCAACTTGGTAAGAGTCTTCCCAACCCTGATATGTCTTGGTTCTGACCCAAGGCTAACCATAATATTTTTAGAAATCATTTCCTGCTGTCTTATTATCTGATAACTGTTAAAGGAGATAAGACTTTTTTTTCTCAGCTTAAACCAGGTTTTCTTTTTTTAGTTCTAGTAAGTGTTTTATGGCACTTGGAACACAATAAGGTCATATAAGTGCCGAAGATCAGAGGTGTTACAAGAGCGTAACCAAGTTTTCTAGAAGATTGCTTCAGGTCAAATGAACAGATAAAAGAACAAATGAAATTGTCCTGAAAGAACATGATACACAGTGTAGTATGCTTTCTAAGATCACGAAAAGGAGACTCGAGTACTGTGGTCACACAAACATAAACACAGACCTGATGATGTCAAATGTTCTGTAGGACAAAGTTGAGGCAAAGACAAATAAGGGAAGACCTCCAACATGCTATTACTATTAGTATTATGATGAAAATGTTAACTTCGACTGTGGTCTACAACTTTTAAAAATAATTTATCGAAGCAGAGCTGGGGAAGATGGAGGCATGTTGTAGCAAGGAGTAGGGTACCAATGGACGAACATGGCCATGATGACAGTTGATAGACCTGTGGGAATCATTTACTGTATCAGCTGATTTAGTGACAGACTCGGAAAGAAGCATTTAGAAATAGTTTGTGGCTTGTATTTTTCTACAATCAAAAGATGGATATGGAACCTTGTCTTTATTTGGTTATTAAATGTTAACTGCTTGTATCAATCATTTTTTTACAAAGATTCAGTTGAGTTTAGGTCAAATACGTCTTTTTGGAAAGCTTACATGTGAAGACGTCGGCGTTAGCTTGACCTTTCGTTAGAAACTATATATGCCGGAATAGAAAAAAAGTGCCTTACAAAATATATATATATGGCTCCTTGAAAGGCAAAGGACCTCCCACTCCAGTAGAAACGACTGTCAGCTGCTCCTGGTATCTTTGAAAGAAACACAGATATAGGTCATATATGGTTAACGTTTTGGTCTTCTGATGCATTCTCAATTCCCTTTAGATAGTAGATTGACTGGGATGTCTTGGACCGGCGTTGAATTACATATTTTAACTCACTGAAGACGTTTCTTGTTAAATACACAGGATGGCCCATAGGTTCTGTGAGACGGTTCCAGTGGAAAACGCGGGATCGTCATTCTCTATATATGGCATCTCTTATTTTCTTATTCGTAAATTTGTTGATCTTTGAATTTTAAACGTTTTTTAAAAAAATCATGACAAATAATCTAGCAGAAATAGAGACTTGTACTTTAGCATATTTATTGTTCTTGTGATGTTCTTCATTGTATCAAAAGGGCATTGCAATTGGTTCAATGGTTCAGATTTTATATAATTTTTTTTAAAAACCTTCAGTCTTCGGGGCTTGTACATAGTAAAATCCTTCAGTCTTCAGTGAGTTAATCTTCCACTGGGAATTTTATTCTTGATCATTCTAGATCCTTGTCATTAGTATAGAGAAGAACAATTGTTTCAGAATCAACAGTACCTTCTGTCCTCATGAAATAAAAACATCTTTGATGTCCTCTCCCCAGGAGAATACACAATCCCCAAAGGCACTACAGTTGTTGTAGTGACCACAGCTCTTCACCGGGACCCAGAGATATTCCCTGACCCAGAAGTTTTCAATCCAGAAAGATTTTTGTTGGAAAACTGTAAGAACAGACACCCCTATGGCTATGTGCCTTTTTCAGCCGGACCTCGCAACTGCATTGGTAAGTTGGAGAGTTCCTTCAACGCAAGATTTGTCAAAGACGTAAAGAATGGAAAACCAAATAAGATGATATGAAACTATTTGAAATCAGTGTTTTTGATTTTGGAGAGATTATGTAAAGATAATGCTGTTCTGCCTCTATTTTAGGGTATGAGATTCAAAGTTTTCGTATCCCTAAACAGGAGAACAGGGTTGTTGAAGTGGTACTGATAAGAGGTCTCACTGTAAAAACAGAAGGCAACAGAGACAGAGATGGACAAAGAGTAATTTACTTACAAAGCGTTAACGTATGGGTCCTGACCTGGAGAACTGTGAGCATCATCTGCTCCTCGTCACTCCATTAAAACCAGGACAAGCTTCAGCTATGACGTCCGTGATATAATCATTACTCTTTCCCTTTCACATAAAAGACATGAGTGGGAGTAGAGCAAACATTTGTGTCACGATGTGGTGGAATCAGGCACTCATCAATGTTTGGGCGTTATTGGTATCATCTGAAAGCATATTCATTTGCCTTGCTTTCTATGAAATAAAACACCCATTTATCTTGAATAGAAGTCAAAATATTTGCAATTGAAGGAGGTTTCAGAGGTAAAATTATCGAGAAAATGGCCTCCAAAGTTTAGTAACTTCTATAGCTTCAGAGTCCTTGAAAACTGAAAATTTACATATTTCATGCCATTAATCAACATGTTTCAGTAAAATTCACATGGAAATGTATTTTTTAATGGACCTAAAAGGTATTGAGCCAAAAAAAAAGAATTTGAAAGAAATTGCCAAACTGGAGGAAAAATACCAGTTTCTTCGATTTCATTATTTTAACAAGTGTCTGATTCCACAACATCTTATTGAGTATTATTTAAGCTGGTTTATTTATGTCCCCTGCATTGTCCCTGACATGCGAGGTGGAAACAGCATGCCTCCTGAATAATTTAAGTTGTGTTAATGAATGGGGCTATGTTGCCCATAAAGGCTTCATGGGCTCTGAAGGAGCATTATAATATCATTTATGTTCTAAAGATGAAATAAAAATGTTTCAAGATTTACAAACGCACTCTCCCAAACATGTTATGGTTATCATTTTTTTTTCCAGGACAAAAGTTTGCTTTGATGGAGGAGAAAACTGTTTTGTCGCATATATTCAGGAAGTTTTCCGTCAAGTCCACTCAGCAGAGAGAAGATTTGAGGCCTGTTGGAGACCTTATCTTGAGACCAGAAATAGGAATACTAGTTGAGCTGAAACATCGCACCAAGGCAGCCTAAGACTCAGGGACTGGCAGCATGGTATTAATGGAATCATAATGTAGCTCTCTTGTTAAATTTATATTTACCTTGTGAGTGCAGACAAATGGTGACATATTTACAGCAGAACACGGTTATAGCGGGACATTTTGGTTCCAGAAGAAAAATCCCGCTGTAGGCAAGTTCCGGCTAAAGAAATGCAAAGGGGAAATTACCAAAAATTCTCTTTAAAAACATCCCTTGCATATCAATAAAATTTTCGCTTTAGATTAGTCTTCCTTTTCTTGTCAAATTCGTTGATTATCTCTGCCTTTAATTCGAGTGAGACGCATAATTTCCTTTTGTCTTTGTTGAAAGCCATCTTTTCCTCGATCTCGTTACTTGTGCTGTCTATCATACCGGTAGGCCTACTGTAGAACTTGTTTAGTGGATGCATGTGTATGCCTGAGCATCAACGATCGCAATTCAACGAATCAGGAATCACACACTATATCTACTCACTCTCCTCTTCTTTTACTTTTTGGCCTAACCTAGGCCTAGGGCTATGGCCTATACGCTCTCGTACTGAGCATCTAGGCTATGGCACATAATTTTTGGAGTGGCTCACGTAACGCGTCTCTCTGCACCATCTCTCTCTGCCGCCTGCCCCACTTCACTCATCACTGGACTGGCTAATCACATTGTCGCACCGCTGACTGCCTGTTTGGAGCCCGCCTACAGCCCCCCAACCCCCTTCCCTCCTACTAGAGCTCGCTCGATCTCTCCCGCTGTATCCGAGTTCGGGCCTTTCCTTGCCCCGCTAAACCTGAGCACAGGGAATTGAGTTTACATAGTAGTAAAAAAAGGGGGGATTCCAGTAAGGTAGCGGGTGCCGCTATAGTCATGTTCTACTGTATTCGGATGCACTTATTAGGAATGTTGTTCATATTCCTTAAGGAAATACAAATATTATGTTGTATGCTTTTGGA